TCCTCCCCCATCCACTGCCATATTTGGCACCTTTTGGGGGGGAGCGGATACCTGTTTTTGACAGATACCTGCTCATACTTCTGGCTCAGTTTGCCGCTGCAAAGTGAGCCGGAAGTTCGGCCCCCTCCTCCCTCCCGCATTCTCTTCGGAACTTTCACAGGTCCCAGAAGACTGCCGGACCAATCAGGAGGCGCAGCGCGACTTGCACATGCACAATGGGCACCAGGCTGTGAAGCCATAAGCCATCACAGCCCAATGCCTGCGCCGTGTAGGAGAGAAGGGGAGAAGGGACAGCGCAGGTGAGAACATCGCTGGACTCTGGGACAGGTAAGTGCTGACTTTTAGTAAACACAAAAACAGATTTGCACTAACAATGCAATTTCAAGGACAAGCAAGACAGAGAAGAAGGTAACACCCTGAAAGCGTTTCCTTAAAATGTTTCCTTAAAATTTAGATGTTAGTGCAAAAAAATGTATACAGTGGGTATAGAAAAGAATCACCCCCCTTTTAAAATAATCACATTTTGTTGCTTTGCAGCCTGAAATGGAGACAGAAACCGTTTGTTTTGTCCGGCTGTATTTGTTTGGGCAGCTTGAAAGATATAACGCCAACATTTCAGAAAAAAAATAATAATAATAATAATGTTCAAAAACAGAATCACTGAGTTGGAAAAAGGATCACGCCCTTGTGTCAGTACTTTGTTGAATCACCTTTTGCTTTAAATACAGCCTTTAGTCTGTTGGGACATGTCTCTACTAACTTTGCACATCTAGATTTTGCAATATTTGCCTACTCTTCTTTGCAAAACTGCTCAAGTTCAGTTAAATGTGATAGTGACCATTTGTGGACTGCAGTCTTCAAGTCATTCCACAGACTTTCAATGGGGTTTAAGTCTGGACATTCACCTTTTTCTCCTTCAACCACTGTGTGGTCATTTTTGCTGTGTTCTTTGGGTCATTGTCATGTTGGAGGGTAAACCTTCTTCCTATTGACAACTTTCTAGCAGAGTGCAGCAGATTTTCCTCAAGAATCTGAAGGCATTTTGCCCCATCCCTTTTTCTTTCTATCCTGACAAGTGCTCCATTCCCTGCTACAGAGAAACCCCCATTATTATAATGTTTGCATTGCAGTAACATCAAGGTACTTTCCATAAAGCAAGTGAGAAAAAATTCCCTTAACACCCTTTAGTTGATGTAACTGAATGCTGTGGACTGCAGAATCTTGCCATCAGCTTTACTTTTTGTGTTTTAAAGAGGAAAGCCCAATCTATAAGGATTTAACAGTCAAGTGTTGAATTATGTCTCACTATGTGTTCAGCAAGTAGTTTCACAAAAATCTGATTAATGGTTTGCCTTTTCCTTTGCATAGACGTCTATATTAATTGCTCACATTGATTATTGGGGATTTAAAAAAAAGTTATCTAGGTTGCCAGGCAAGATTTAAACAAACGATTGTTTCATTAAAGCAGAGTTCCACCCTATTTTTGAACTTCGGCCCCCTGTGTTGCTGATCACAATACATTTAATGTTTTGGATTTTTTTTTTTCCAAAGCATATTACCTGAAGTCTAAATATAGATCTGTACTTCCATTGTACATTGTGTCTAATCCTGTCGCCTGTTGGCTCCTGGGATATAAGTGTCAACAATCCAGGAGTCAATGGGTAAATTGACAGGTTGCCATAGTAATGGGCATGAACTTGCTATGGCAACTTTCAATACGAGTGCGCCGCGCTTTGTACACATTGCGCAGGCGCGAAATCGGGAGATACATGCTGGGTAGCCAGCAGCATCATATCCTGGAATAAACTTTGAGCGGGCTTCAGATGCCCACAATGAAGGTGGGTACTTGCATGTCACGGAGGTTTCAGTGAGTAAATTGAATAACTAAATAACAAAAAAAATTTACATATAAAGCATATGCCAGATTGCAATAGATAAACTGTGACTGTCAAGGGGGTATTTTTTAGAAATAAAAAAACTGACTGGAGCTCTGCTTTAAGTCATTTTAGAAATTATAACTATAAAGCTCCATGCACACTGGGTGTTTTAAATGAAGCTGGTAACGTTAGCTGTGTTAAGTCACATTAAAAACGTGAGTTTTTCAGCATTTTTGCATTAGCGTTTAGTGGTGTTTCACCGTGTTTTTGTTAGCTTTTTTTTTTTCTTTTTTTTTTACCGCGTTTTGCTGTGTTTTTCAGCGTTAGAGCATTTTTACAGCTAAAAAACTCCTCTAGAAACCCACTAGTTCTTGGGGTTTTTTTTACAGCCAAAAAACGCCCCTGCCAAAAATTGCTGATTACAGTCTATGTGTGCATGGACACATAGGATAATATAGGATAACATGCTGGGGAGTTTACTGGCTGTAGAAAAAAAAAAACCCAAAAGCCAAAACAGTAGCTGTAAAAACATCCAGTGTGCATGAGGACTAAACGTGAAGCTGACCAAAGATCAAATGTCTTCTCACTGGAAAGATAATTTTCTCACTCAACATGTACAGGTATGTTCCTCAATAACTGCATGTCTGTCAAACTGAAGTTTGATGTAGGCTATTTTATTAAGCAGTTTGATCCTTTTCATTTTTAATCTTCACATTGTTCCTCCAAAAATCCTAATTGTGGTATCATTGTGCAGTGATAGAATGATCTCCAAATTGTGACAACATAGTTCAAGCTGTGTACTAGGCTTGGTGGCCAGCAATACAGCTTTTCCTCATAACCTGGATGCAATAATTCTAAGTTCACTTGTCTCCATATGAAGGTCAAAAAGCTGTTTTACCATAAGTTTCAGAAAGGCAGTGTAGAGAGTGTTGCAAACGTGCGCAACACACAGTGAAGGATGCAGACTCCATTTTGTTAAGAGTATCCATTTCTCCCTTATTCTTCCCTCCCCCTTTGAGAGGAGACATTTGGCCAGCGTGTGTGTGTGTGTGTGTGTGTGTGTGTGGGGGTTGTGGGTGTGTGGGGTTGGGGGGTCACTGGCAGGCCAAGGCATCTCTGAGCTAGGTGCCTAGCTGTCTGGGAAAGCTGTACGATTTCACACCTAGGAAGAGATAAGGCAAGCTTTCTCTGGAGTTGAGAGAGATTCCACCCTAATAAAACCTAACTCAGCGTAGGTGACAGAATCCGATAACCTCTGTTAAAACCATGTCTTCCCTATGTCTCAAATCTTGGAATATGAGAGACTTACATAAAAGCCGGACATATCATCAGATGGACGATGAGCAGGCGAACAGTTTGATGGGCCACTCGCCTTGTCTCGGACGCACAGGAAAGCATAAAAATAGATCTCTCGAACCGTTTAGCATACACTTTCATAATTCATATGTAATCAATCCTCAGACTTGTCTGCATATTAATCTACCCGCGGGTGGGATGTCACTTGTGCATAGGAAAAGTTATAGGCCAAATATGAGTTATGGGAGATTTTTGCTCTAGTTGAGGCATCCACCCATCTCTCCACGCCCTAAGCGGAGATTGGTCCTTGACTGCAGAGCCACCCCCTGCTGGGGACTACAAAACAGGCTGTCAGGCCTAAGATTAAGGAAGTTGAAGACGTCTCCCATTTTTAACATCAATACCACCTGGGGAGACGCGTGCCCTTTTGCTCTGAAACTTGAATCTGCTAACCCAGGACTTTGGCAAGTACCTTAACCCTTTCGCCTCTCTCTGATATCTCTTTGCTGTGCTATGGTTCTTTGTATATTTATATATATATATATTATATATATATATATATATATTTTTACATCTTTTTTCTGTAAATATCTTTATTGCACCCATTTGACCTTTTTAGTTATAAATCTTTCTTTCTGAAAGTGTTGAACTGTTGCTATAGCTCTGTATTGCAATTTACGAATCCCTGCCTCTAAAGAGAACGCTACCGTTTGTTTAACCCTCTGTATAACAGGCCTGTGTTATGACCGTTTTATACAGACGATTATCGCAATCATTATAGTGTTATAGCTGATAACGCCGAGTGTCCTCTTTCTCTGTACAAAAAGGAGGTGGTGGCAGTGTGAAGGGTTAATTGCGTAATTAACCTGACCCAGTAACAATCGCCCAGGCTGCCGGTACATCGATTGTGGTCCGTTAGCTGGAAAATTGTTGTGCAGGGTGCAGCTGGGTGTTGCATTGTTACGCACGTCACATCACGGTTTTAGATTGGCTAGTCCTTCGGTCACCAGTTTGGGTGAGAAGGTCTGGGGTCTGACGCCGCGATCGTGACAGAAAGCACTGATGATATGGAATGCTGGGGTTATGGGTCATGCTATCACGGATTTATAGATGCACCCTTATGTGTTATTAATTGGGCTTCATGCACAGAGCCATCTAGGGTCCTACAGTGTGTAGAGCCTGTGTCATGGCATTCCTGGGATCTGCTGTTACCACATACAGCCGCCCATTAGGATGTATTAGAAGAGGCTGCTGTATGCGATTGTGTTGAAGGTTGCGTAAAATGTCTGCCCGTGCACTGTTGCATGCTCCGAACACATATAGCGTGTGTCTGGACCATACGTCATTGGAGCATACAGTGCTGTACACAAACCCTGGTGCATGAATGCGTACAGCCACCTCTACTAGTGCATCTCAGTGGGTGCAAGCCGTGGGTCCTGGAAATGTCATTTCACAGGCTCTGCACGCATGTGCTTGAATGTGGCCAGGTGTGGAAGAACCCTTTAAGTAATTATTATTATTTAACCACTTGTCTACCGGGCACTTTCACCCCCTTCCTGCCCAGGCTAATTTTCAGCACTGTTTACTTTGAATGACAATTGCGCAGTCATGCAACACTACCCATATTAAATTTTTATAATTTTTTTTAGACCAATAGAGCTTTCTTTTGGTGGTATTAATCACCACTGGGTTTTTTTTTCTTTTTTTGCTAAACAAACCAAAAAACCCTGAAAATTTTGAGAAAAAGTTTTTTTTCTTAGTTTTTATCTTATAACATTTTGTAAATGAGTAATTTTTCTCCTTCACGGATGTGCACTAATGAGGTCGCAGTGATGGGCACTGATAGGTGGCACTGATGAGGCACTGGTAGATGGCACTGATGGGCATTGACAGGCATCACTGGTGGGCATTGAGAGACATCACTGATGGGCACTGAAAGGCAGTACTCATAAATGGCACTGATAGGCGGCACTGACTGGTACTGTTAGGCGACACTGATGGGCACTGATAGGTGGCACTGATTGGCAGCACTGATAGGTGGCACTGACAGGCAGCTCAGATGGGCACTGATATGTGGTATTGATGTGCACTGGTAGGGACTGATATGTGGCATTGATGTGCATTGGTGTGCACTGACAGGTGGCATTGATGGGCAGTTAAAGTGATACTAAACCCACAACAGTAAAATCAGTCTGTATATGCAGTAAAGCATGCTTGATATTCTCCCTTTGGAACCTAAGGGGTTAATCCTCTGCATTGTGTAAAAAGGCTGTTTGATCCTGACTTCTCTGATCCTCTCCTTCCAGTGTCCCCCGCTTATCACCTGATAAGACATATCGTGTGGAGACACTCTGCACATACTCAGATTGTTGTGTATTGTTAGTTTTTTTTTTTTTTTTTTTCTGGGAGTGCGCATGTGATCAGCACAGGGCCAATCCACACTTTCAGGGGTTCTGCATAGTCCTAAAGCAGAAAGAAACTCCTCCTACAAGTTTTAAACCAGTGCTCTGCTGAACACTGATAGAAGTCAAAAGACTGCCATAGCTGTTGTTGAGAAAAGGTATTTAGCAGTTTACATTTACTAAAATAATTGCATTTCCATGTTCTGTGGGAGACCAGATAAAGTGAATGCAGGATACTGGGTTTAGTAACACTTTAAGTCTATGAAAATAATCCTTCTCTTGCACCTCTAAGCTAGTCTTTTTTATTTTACTTGTGGTTAAGTATAGAAATAGCCCTACTAAAATGAAAAAGCCAAGATAATATAGCTATAAAGGTGATCAGGGACTTTAAAATAGATCAGAAAATGTAAAACAGGTCACCTACTGCTTCTCAAGAATCCAGCAGATCACCCATAACTACTCAAGTATCTGACTGGTTATTCATCACCGCTTCAAAATCTATCAGGTCACCCACCAGTTCTCCAGAATGCAGAAGGTCACTCACTCCTTGTGAATCCAGCAGATCACTCCTCTAAAACTAACAGTTCAGCTAACATTGCTTAAAAGTGATATCTACATTTTTAGTATTATGAACATCTAAGTAAATTAACAATTGTCATTTTTAAAAAATTAAAGCATCTACAGATAGGTCAGTAGATAAAGATATGTATATGGGTGGCATGCATTGTCTATGATCCTTCCTATTTGTGAGGGAAAATAATGCACATGGGATCAGAAGCGGAAACGATCTAAAATGACATTACAGGTACACTGAATAAATAAATGTGGAAATCTATCTATGACAAACATCAATCAGGACTGTGTAGGGATTAAAGTATGTTGTTCTACTTACACCGTCTTTCAAGGGCACAGGTGAAGGTGCAAATGACATGATTCCCCAGATGTTTCGGTGGAGAAAATTCATGTTGATTTACTTGACATAATATGGGATGCAGTAACTTTATAAGCTAGATTGAAACATTGCCTTTTGAGGTTTGTCTTGATTCACATTTAAAATGTTGCTAAAAAAATATCAGATCATGTGAAACGAAGCTTTGCTTGTGAAGAGATTGTGAATGGGATTGTTAGGAATGTTAGCTGCAGGACCGAGGTGCAGAGCTAATGCTGTATGTGTGTGGGAGTGGTTCCTCTCTGCTTATGACAGAGTAAAATCTCTTTGTTCACGCATCCATGCTGCACTGCCGCAGGCAAAGAAAAATACCAAGCAGTGGATAAACTGGGTTTGCATTATTGCTGTATTATTGTAACTGAGCCACTCTATATATTGTAGCACCTTTTGTAAATGCTGCATTGGTATTTTAAAAGCTTTATAAAATATATAGTTATGTTGACAGCATGTATGTGTTAACACGCGTTCATATTAGTTACTGGTAATTAGTGCTTTATTTATATATTCCCAATTGTCACTGTAGTTCTAGAATTAATCGATTACATGTAAAAACTGCTAGTGTGTTACCTTGACTGAGAAGACATTTATTTATGCTTGAAAATCCAAATTCCACCAAATTTAGTATATCATTACTGAATTTGGTAATTTTAAGAGCCCATTTACATTTGTGTGGTAATGCATATGTGTTAATGAGTGTTATGTCACAAGTGAACGTTTGTTCAATTAAAGTGATACTAAACACACACTGTGTATCTTAAATTATCCCTTCACTTTCATATTGTGGATGATGGCACTGTATTTATTCTAATAAAAATATAAATACCTTTTTCCTAATCAATATATAGGTGTCACATGCCCCAGCTCTTTCCCAGTCTATCTGTAGAGAATCAGTGGCAGAAGGAGCTTCTAGTCCTCTTCTGCTAGTCACATGTTCAAAATAAAAAAAACAGCCTTTGGTATACAGAGTAAAAATATATATTTGAAATCAATTCTTTATTATTTTTTTTTCACAATAACATGGTGTGGGTGGATTTCTGTCAGTTACAGACTGTGTCACGCCCCTCCAGCCAGTCTTCGAATAACAGGGAGGTAAATCCTACATCAGTCAAGATGTAATATCCCACCCCCCATTGTGTTTAGCTGGTTAGTGTGCATGAAGGAGGAGGGGCTGTCATTTACCACTTTGTATCCACCCCACATGTTTGACTCTATAGTTACATGGGCTCTTCAGATGTGATTAAGGAGGAAATGCTCAGCATAGAAACTCACTGAAAAGTAAGCAAGTGCAGTAGCTGCTAACATTGCTCTGAAAAATCCCCAGCTGCATTGGGGACATGGATGCTTACCTGAGCTTGATCTCAGTCCAGCGACGTGCAGGAGAGCTCTCTCGGGTCTCTGCCTCCTCATTGGCTCAGACACAGCCATTGGCTCCTGCTGTTGTCAATCTCAGCCAATGAGGAGGGATTGGGGGGCAGGGCCGAGCCATGCTCTGCTGTCTTATGGATGCAAAGAGCAGCAGGGCTAGGGAGCAAGCACTCACCAGTGCCCCTATAGCAAGCTGCTTGCAATGGGGCACTGCTAAAGGGGGAGCAGCCAGATGCACAGGCGGGGGACCTGAGAAGAGGAGGATCTAAGGCATCCCATTAAAATCAATGGGCTTCTGACTTATCAAATATCAGCCATGTCACATATTTTTTGCTTCAGTGAATCACAACACACTATTTATTCTATTTATGTTAATGACTCAGAAGGTACTGAAGATATTGAATCAGTTTTAAAGCCAAGGAACGAGTGTGTTTCTTGAAAGTTAGCAATGGTAGTTCCTCTGTAAAGGCTACAGAAGGAGACATGTCAACAGTTTTATCCTTGTATGCAAAAAATACTTATTTACTATGTACACATTTTGTTTTTCATGAATTATATATTTCCTATTATTACCTATTGCATGTAAGTGGTCTTTAATTGGAGTTGAAATAATGAGAAATGTTCTAGAATCAAGGAATAGTTGTCTTATCTTGCTAATGAATCATTGTCATTTGCTGCTGAGGTCAAATTCTTATAGTATACATGACAGTACTAATAATAAACATGGTGGCCCCTTACTCTATACCTACCCCATGTAGATGCCAGTAGTGGGCTGTTCATGTGAATGGGTTTCACATTGACTTCTTCACACCATAGCTCTTAGAATATCACTCTTCTTTCTGCAAAATGTCTGTTGTCAGTTGTTCCCACTTCTCAGCACTGAAGTCCCTAAAAAGGCATACGAAACAGATAGGTTATCCTAATATTCAAGATCTACAAAAATTGGAATTATCCATACATTCATTATACAATTCTCCTGTACAATTTTCCTGTAGATTTACCAAAAAATCATATGTTATGAGGTCAAACCTAAACAACACTTTCAATTTGCATCCAATCATGCAGGCCCTTGCAATACATAGCAGAAAAACTAAAGGAGATTGTACAGAAATTGTACAAGAGAATTGTATAATGTATGGCCATCTTTACCCGATAAAGTGGTAGTGAACTCTTTATTTTAACTTTTACCTACAGGTAAGCTTATAATAAAACTTACCTGTAGGTAAGATAAATATTTCCTAAACATGCACCATTTAGGAGATATTCGCTCTTTTTGAGAGCTGGTGCATGCTCTTTGAAGGAATGGCATACCCGCACCATTCCTTCAGGGTACTGTGCTTTGGCGTGAGACTCCTGCGAACATGTGCGGGAGTGACATCAATGCAGCTAGGCCAGTCAGCTCATGAACCCGGAAAGAAGACCTGGTGAAGATGGAAGCCTCTGCAGCAGTGACAGCGTGTCACTGGAGGGCTTCATTTTAAGGTAAGTCCTTCATAATATGCTAGTATGTGATGCATACCTTGCAGGGGTTATGATATTACCTTGCAGGGGATTTGTTTTTTTTTTACACATTGTTTAATACTTCTTTAAATGAGGATCAAGACAAATCTCAGGAGTGTGTAAAAAACTGGCTTAGCATGATTGTACTGAGGGCTGTTTTTTTTTACAAAAATACTTTAAAATAAATTATTAAATATTTGTTAAGGGATAGTAAATTTTATAGAAGTCATTAAAGAAATGTCTACTAAAATTAAAACCCCAAATTAACGCCCCATTTCAGTATGTAAAAAGAACTGCCCGGTACCTGACTGGTGATGCAGTCCTCACTGTAGTTCTGGTGAAAATTGCAGTGTTTGGGTATGGGCCACTTTTCACACTCCTGCTTTCCCTCACACAATGCCTGAGTGCCTGAGAATGCTATGCATGGGGTATTGAGTGCAAAGAGGGTATGGTAGGTATTTTGTAGGATTTTGGCTGCAGCAAGGATTGGAGCAACATACTAGAGCAGAGTATGAAAATAAAAGCACTGGAAGTGGCCTTCAATTCAACAATGGGTGAATCCCTATGAAATTTTCTGTCTAACTCAGGTTCACTTTGAGACTTCACATGTGGGCTGCTTGTGTCACACATTGCTTATAAAACAAGTTTACATTTCCTTTTTTGGGGAAAAACTCTGATTTAACTGGGAGTTGTTTTAAACCATCCCGTGTTCCATAGTGAAAGTCAAAGTGTAAATACTTCTCTATACAGCAGAGTGACTGGAAAGCATGCTGATGCACGTTCTGCCATTTAATTTGCCAATGTCATGAGTTTAATCAAGCAGAGCAAAATCTGATTTGGAGTGCTTAGTTTAATGCTTAATAGAAGTCACAGAAATAACTATCCAGTCAGACAATGTACTACAAAAACTCCATTTTCATTTTCATTTTTAATGCGTTTT